AAAAACAAGAACTCAAATAATTCTTCACCGTGGGACCAAAAAGTGCAGCGCAACGAGAGAAAGATGAAAGATGTAAATCACAAAGACGACAAAAACAAGCCGATTATTTTGAGATAAATCGTATTTCAACTGTGTTAACTTAGTGCCCACTTAGTTCTTTTCTCAGTAGTTCTGTTGTAGCTGAATAAGACTCAAAAAATATATTTGAACGAAACGAATAAACTAAACAAACTGCGGAAGTCGCTGTGCTGATTAAGGTAATTCCTCTGAAATAAAACTGCACATAGATTTTTGTTCAAACTTTGTCCAATGAATATTTATCATATAAAACTTTAATTATAAAATAAAAAAGGGGGGTGCCCATGCTCTTCAAGGAGCAGTGAGGAATTGAAAATGTCCCATTTTAGCGTTATTTAATGCTTATTACAAGAACGCATTCCAAGTTATTGTAAACTCTTTGTGAGCCCAGACTCACGAAAACACGCCTTTTTCAAGTTTGATTTTGACGGACATTTGAATCCTTGTTAAAATATTGGAACCAAATTGCTTGCCACGGCTACCAAACTGCAAAATAGAAATGACTACAGTGCAGCTGCTATTTTCCTTATTTATTCAATTTTCAGCAATAGAAATCAGATCAGTCTTTTCTCACGCAAAGCTAATGATTAGTTGATTAAAATGACTGGAAAAAAATTTGGGGTGCCGAAGCTCGTTAGTGAGCTATAGCCATTTTTCAACTGGCAGAACTCAATATCAAGGCAAATCCTCCATGTTTTCAATGTGCGCGTGCACGAACGCGCGCTAATAACGCCATAAATTATGCGCAGTAAGGATGCGCAATACAATACTGGGGAATGACCTTAAATACGCACAAATCCAAGGTGCAAAAATACTGTTCACTTTTAAAACCTAAAATTCCCAAATAAAGGCAATCAAATGAAAGAAACATGACAGGAAGTTCAATAACAGTAGATTTTCATATTCAAGATGAGGTAAAAAAAAACTTGAGTTTTTGCTGGCGACTTGTGCAGTCATTTTATCGGCCGTGGCTTCAGCAATCGTTCTAAACGGTTGAATTCAACTTCGAAGTAATACTGTGCATTACTATTTTTGTTTTCTAAAGTCCAGGAAGCTGCTTTAAATCTGCGATCTGTATTCAAATTCACTCTGGAAAGCGCACCGATCGTCATGTTAATTTTCGCGGCGGTTATTGAAGGAAAGAAAAATTCTTCACCAGAAAGGTTTGAGGACAATGTACACCTTGATCTTTCATTCTTAGGCCACCTAAACATTGATTTATGTTTTTCCTTTCCATTTTAAATCCCGAAGAAGTAATTTCTCCGTTTCCATTCCCGTCCCCAGAGCCTTCGTTTATTTTGGTCACGTGCTCGTCAACGACATTTCTAGAAGAGTAGCACTGGGGAAGAGAATGGGTACGAGATTGAGCAATAGGCCAATTCCGATATATTAAAATTCTAACTTGGCTCCGCGGCTGAGGGGAATAAAACAAAAGAAATTAATTATTCATCCCTCATCCTCGATGCGATTTCTTTTGTTTTATTCCCCTAAGCCTCGGAGCCAAGTTAGATTTTTAATATATCGGAATTGGCCTATTACCGTATGTCCGTAAATCACGGACATCTGGCGAGGCATGCGTAATTTTTGCCAGCATATCTGATTGTTATTACTATTTACAACCGTTTTTAACTGTTAACTGTGCCACGCAGCAACTGATCCTTTTGGATTACAAATATTTATTATTATTATTATATGGAGAAGAGTGTTTTACTGGGAACTAAACCACTCGTAGATTCCATACGCCACTTCATCCGGGACCCGAGTGGCGTATTTTCCGTATGTCACCTTTGTGNAACGAGTGAGATATTGTTCTTGCCACGAGAACATAAAATTCATATCTTCTCGCCACCGTGTAATATCCTCTATTTATCTGATTGGGGAACCCATCGCACATCCAAATATTTGTTTGTAATGGATGTTGTCATGTTTGGAGTAGTTGTGATTGCGAACAAATTCTAACTGCTTCATGATGTTGCTGATGGACATATTTGTACGTTCCGCTAGGTCCTGATCGTTTTGGCTGACTATTTTTTTGATGTTTCGTTCAAGACGTTTTGGGTGGTGCTTGAGCCTTGATCAGTTTAAATATTAACGTTAGAACGCGTGATTCAAAAAGTAGCACGTCGAACGCGCGCTTAGGAGAATTCCGGGTAGTTTCAAGAAAACGTAGCGCGAGACTTACGCGTGTGCCTAAGACTCGTAGACTTCCGGGAATGGCGATGTGGTCATTTCCAGATTGCGGATCCTTTATTGACATCCAGGTTTCCAAGCAAGGTCGTACGTGAAAGTTAGCCTCATGTCCAACAACTCTGACACTCCCAAAATCCATTTTCGAAAAAAAAAAACACTAAAAAGTCTCCGAGAAAACACTAAAGCAGGCGTCAACGGAAAAAACACTGGCATTTTCCAAATTTTTAAAGAGTATGACCTTGCCTTCTGGAAGAATGCAGCGGCAACTGGCGCATCTGGCTGGTCAAGGATGAATTTGCATCCTTACAATTTTCACTTGCGCTCACCAGTTCCCCCTTCCACATTGCACAGCAATCACCCTGGCAATGAAAGCTACAGAGCCATCCTAGAACCAATTTGCAATGAGTTGGCCATGCAGAGAGAAAAATATCCAATGACAATTGTCTATTTAAAGCTAAAGTATTGCGGATATGCTTACACACTGTTTGGAAGAATACTAAAGGTAACCAGTTTGCTGAAGAATCCAAGGAATCAGCAGCAAGACGCCCAGTTCCATTCACCATAAACAGACCGCGTAAAAAAGGAAATGATTTCAGAGATTAAAAAACAGAACTCAAGACTAAGAGTTATATTTGCACATCCGCGGCTCTTCAACCGCTTGGAATGGGTGTTGATACACCATATGTTACAAACATCATTCATATTTCACGGCCGGCCTACAAGCTAAAGCTGTTTTGTATTACAACAATACTGATATTGGCAAAAATAAAGTCCATATTGAACAGTCAGTGAAAGACTACTGCCAGTCAAAGGATGAATGCCAAAGAAAAGAAATCCTAGAGTATTTTGGCATTAAGTCAGTGAAACAACCTAATTGCTGTTGTGTTTGTGATGTGGATACCAATGTCACTGCTAATGAAATGCAAGATGTGCGACTCAAAGTCAGGAAAGTGCCTGTTGATAACAGGATCCTTGTACAAAGTGCAATCCGTCGGAAGACTAAGGAAAGTGACGGTCTGGTGACGGCTGGAACAAAACAGATGGAACAAGCACTTTAAATTCCATATCTTCAAAGCTAAAGTTGTGTTCACTGAAGCCACGGTTGGTGTAAATAATACAAAATCTATGTCTCACACACTGGGGATTTAAGCCCCTTAAAACGTTACGTCTAAGCGCACTAACTTTGCTTCGTTTTCCGCCAAACCTTTTTTTTTTCAACTACTCTTGTCTCTATCTTTCGAAAACAGTAAAAAAAAAAAAAAATGTTGGAATTTACGAATTTAAAATTAAGAGTATGATGTGACCTCATCGTTTATGACGTCATCATCTGACATGCGCTGTACGCTTTGTTGTAAAAAACGTTGGACTTCTGTCAACTATTTATTTTCCAAATCTGGTGACGGTATGTTAAGTTTATTTGAAGTTATGCTAAAATATGCGCTTCAAGGGGCTTAAATCCCCAGTGTATTAGTGATGTTTGTTGAGAATTTTTCAGTCTGTCCAAAATGACATCCCAAACGCTACCTTTGACCGTGAGCCATCAAGCCTGTGGTGCAGACGGAATTCAATTTAACCCTGTAATTAAATAACCGAGCCAAGGGTTAACCGAGCTGCTCTACTCGGACAATTTCATGACTTTCTCGTAAGAGATGAAATTGCATTATTGTGTCTCGCTAAATATGACCTGACATTTTGCAAGCAATGTTCATTAATTTTATTGTCGTCGGCTTTAACCTGGCGGGAAATGCTCAACCTCTGAAATGGTCACATTATACGCATTGGTAAGCAGATTGGTAAAGATTTTAGCAGGAAGCGAACAAGTGACGGAGTGAAATACCCAAAAAATAGCGAGTACAAACGACAGTGTTTCCTAAGCATAGGACTGCAGCTCAGTCGAAACTATTTTCTTAATACCAGTAAAGGAATTCTTCTAGTTTAGAGCTTACAATCGGTCCAGTCACCCTCGCTTCGTGGGTCACGCTTCCCCGTCACACAACGCTAAGCTATTAAGTTTTCCTGTTTTATGGGATTTCTAAACGTACTGCAATCGACCAGATAAAACTTTCTCATTTAATCCCTTCTTGAGCAGAGCAAAGTACCAAACAGGCTCTGGTCCATTCTCCAGACGGCCATTTTATGACGAGTAGCTTTAAGAACGAGAAAGCCTCTGAACTAGAATCCCGAATCTCGCCCTTCACCCTCATGGCCCTTTACGCTTCTCTTCTCGTGCCAAGGCTCCGCCGGCTAAGAGAAGCGAAAAGGGCCATGGGGACGAGAATAATTTAGAATCGAGCTCGGAAATAAACGAATTGCTTTGAAAAAAGCCGTCAGCAAGGAGTATACGCGAGAGTCCTTATGGGATTAGTTGAATTCCGATTCGGCAAACGACATTTACTCCACTGACTGCCATAACAACCAAATAGTTTCAGCTAACTTTTCATTTATTCCTGTTTTGAAGTTAAAAAAGCCATGTTGTTGTTGACTAGATGTTGTAAATACTCGACAAGAAAAACAATCGTATTGGAACCATCTTGACTAGCAGCTCTTCATTCTCTACCAGCCCTCATCTCTTTTACCATTTTTCGCATCATGTCTCTGAAAAAGGAAATGAAATAAGGACAAT